ATCAATTGCATTTTATTATATATTCTGAAGTGCTTTTTTATGCATCATGGTAAATTAATCTATAAACTGGACTCAAACTTTCCATGGAAATTTGTCTCAGCGCTAATGATACATTTAAGGCATATTTTAAAAGTGGCAATTTAGCTTAATATATTAAGCTAAGATATCCACATGGAAATTTCTCCCAACATACATTGTACTTAAGAAGCATTTAAGGTAAAAAGTAGTGACGTAAGTAATACACAGGATTTTCTACCTGTGGATTGAAGGGTTATTATCATTTCAAGTAATTTTGACCCCTGCGATAAAATTATGTTTACAGCATCATGCACTTTAGCGCCTTAGAAAGGATTAAAAATTGAAACTTTTCTACCATGCATTGCCAAGAATATAATGAGATATCACAGTAGAGATATTTTCAGTGATATAAAATCTGAGTTTTCAAAAAGGCTCTTAATAACTTGAAAGAAATTGACAAGAATGATGTCTGTCTAATGGGGATGTATATGCGATTGTTGTTTTTATAAGGTTTTCTATTTATGGAGCCTTTGGAATACAATCATTTCGATTACAGTTTCCCTCTAGGCATCTCTAATATCGAATGTGGTAAATAAAAAACACTAATGGGAATTCAGTAATGGCCTTGAATATTTGTTTCCACTAAGCTTGGAGTTTAGGTTTACTATCTGGTAGATTGTAAATGTATAGTGTGTTCTAGCTATGACATACATGGTCTGCAGGCTGCTAAATTCTTTGATATTATTTTTCAGATTTTTTTTCAATATTGCAAGTCTCTAAATGAACCCAGTGCAAGCAATTTGTACATTATTGTAGATTCCCTTTGTCTGTCTGTTTGCAAGTGATAAACAGTCAATAGCTGTATAGCTGTACATGTATTTTTTAACCTCCTACTTGACAAAATGGTTAAGAACAGTGGTATTTTTGAGTCAAGGTCATTTGAAAAAGGTCATGGTCAGAATCACCTTGGGAAAATACTTGAAATTCCAGTACCTGATGTAAAATTATTTCAAACTCTTCGAAAAGGTTGCCAGAATGTAGCCAATGTTAGAAACAGCTCATGGATATCTTAAGTACTTTCAATGAAATGACAATTTTTGAAATGAAAATTTTAATTTACCCAAATCTTAACTGTTAAAATTGCTTCTGTCTGTAATTTATTTAGATAATTACCCATACAAGTAATTTTCAATCAGTGCTAATATTTTTTTTTGACTTTTTTTTATCGATTTTATAGAATTTTCTATATGGCCATAATTAGGATTTTATCAGGCTGCTGTCTTTGAATATTGTGATTGATAATGTTATTTGAACAGGGTAGTTTTTTTTCCCATAATCAAAGATTCGGGGTATAAAGTTCTTGCCCTGTCTGTCCATCTGTCTGTCTGTGTGCAAAAACTTTAACCATTGGCCATAACATTTAACTGGGTGGGGCTATAGTTTTCATATTTCATAGTTATATTACAATTAAAACCTTTCTTTGGGTACCTCCAAATTTGACTACTTGACCTTTTAGTTTGACCCACTTTTACAAAAGAAATTCCAAATGTTAATCTTGGCCATATAACTTTTGAACAGTTGGTGCTAGGGGTTTCATACTTCACATGTGTATTCCTTGTGACATGATCTTTCAATGGAAGTAAATATTTTTGACCTTTTTACCTTCACTTTAGAGTTTGAAAAATATTTTTTTTTACATTTTGTATGCATGGATTTTTTAATCATTTTCCAAGCACTAAGTTTCTTATAAGAACATTTTCCACCCATAAAAAGTTCAATCTATGGCCATTATAAAAAGAACATGACTGTATTATGAATTATTAAAAATGAAAAAAGTCTTCGATAGCATTCAAATAACATGTTTGATATAGTATCTACTTTTCTAAAGCTTATTTTGTGCATATCTTACTTTTTTGGAAAATTCAGATTTTGATCCAGTAAAAAGCTCCTAAACTTATAACTATTTGTATTTTGTATGCATATATGTTATGTATATACCTTATCATAGGAGGTGAAAATAAGCCTTATAATATTGATTTAATTTTGTCTCTTCAATAATATCTTAATTTTTTCCTGTCTGATGCAGGGAGATTAATTTTCTTAACATGTCAGCATCGTATGTATAAAACCTGAGTTATGTGTCCATTATGGAACCTCTCCCAGGCTAATCTCTTGTAATACACTTTTACTGGGGTAAAAAAAATCAATGGCTCAAGATCAGACAAAAGGAAAAGTAGACGGATTAAACATTACCTGGTGGGGAGGGACAAAAGAGAGTGAAGAATGAAACAGATATGCTCATTATCTAACCGATCAGATAAAAAAGATTTTTACTTTTTTTGTGGTTAATACCTGCTGTACTTAACGTGTATTGATATGCTTACAATATTGCATTTCATAGAAATTATAAATGGCAAATTTTTTTAAAATTAATTTTTCCCTTAGTTTTTTAAAAATATTTAGTGTTGTTATGGATATAATGATAAATTTCTTTTCGTTTTGAAATAAATCTTAATTAGCTAAGAATATCCATCGAACATGAATGCCCAACTGAGGGTATATTAGGAATACAGCATTGAAATTTTGTTCAAGTGTATGGAGTTTGATGAGAATATCTTGTCAAAATGAATGGTTTCTTTAATTGAAATCTAAAAAAATTGGATCTAGATGATAAATTCTTGTTACCCTCTTCCATTTAAGGAAGGGAATGCAGGGCATATTTTTTGTCTAGTCAATATGGTATTTTTTTGTAGTTGAGTGTCTCCGCATTCGTAGAACATATTTTTATTAATGCTTAGTGTATGATTATACCTGTACTGGTATATATACATGTAGGGAAAATTGTCAGAGCATAAAAATAAACCCCCTTAAGGTTGTGTTATGTGTTCATGTATCTATATATCAGATAGTCAGGGGTGGGTGGGATATCTGTATTCAATCTACTATGAACAATCAAACAACTGTATTTGTGTAAGTTGTACAAATTTCACACTACGTGTTTGTGTCTAATACTAGACAAGATTATTTGGAACTCAATTCTTAAAGGATAATGCATGTAGGGGAGATCCGTCCAATTCTGGACACGGGGTAATTCCGGACAAATAATACAGTCTTTCTCTTTTGTCCTATTTTTCAGTAATTCTGTATTATTGATTATAAATAAATGAAATACATTCGGAAAGCGGGTGTCATTGTTGTCTTTTTTAAAAACATAATGATTCTAGGGTATTCTGAATGCTATATACGTCAAAAGTTAGACTTTGGACTTTTACGGTCTTGAAATCCATTAGGTGGCAAAATTTGAACATATTAAGGGCAATTTGACATAGAATTAAAACAACATCTAAGATAAATATTTACATGTATATATCCATTTATTATTTTAAAATTTCTTAAGTAGAGAGCATATGTTTAAAAAGAAAAAAATATGATGAATAATACAAAATAATGTTAATTTTTTCATTAAATTTTATCAAACAACGTGTTCCGATTTCCCCCACTGATTTTTTTCTAGGTGGGGGAATTCAGGACGCTGGTTTTATGGGTAGACAGACATCTCAGCCCAATGACAATTCGGCCCGTGACGGTTAACACCTAGGCCTGGACGGGTCAGACCAAAATTATTGACATATCGGCCCATATTAAAGACCCAAGAAAAAATTAGTCCAGTGTCTGAATTATTGTTTTTATTTAATTAATTACTCTTTCTTTATAAAACATTTTTCTTGATAAAAATCAATTTGGGAAGGGGGAGGGCTCTATATCATTTCTATGCAAGTCCCTGACCCGCATCTCTCTCTCTCTCTCTTGTGAAAATGTACAATATACATGCTAAGTAATGTAAAACAAGCAGGCTTTGTCTAACAAAGTGTCATGTTGTTGGAATGCATTTTCTCACAAAAAATATGTTCAAAGCACATATTGCTCTCCTGTCCGGATTTACCCCGCCTCTGTCTGGAATTACCTCATGTTGTGCGGACATACACTATTTCACCACCTGAATTCATTTTATTATCAATAAAAGATATTTAGTTGTGTTTAATGATGATATTCACTGCATTTTGTTGCCAAAAAGTGTTTCCATACTTTATCACTTGAAATCAGAGTGTGTTGAGTGTTTATTTTCGTTTGCTGGGTGTTACATATTAAATCATGACAAAAGTGTCCAGAATTGGACGGATCTCCCCTATATTTCTAATTTCTCTCTCTTCCTCTTCATCTTGTCAAGATTTTTTTAGTTTTAAGTTTGTTTGTTCATTAAACATCCTTCTCTTCTCAAGAATTTTTCATTTATATGGTGATGCCACCATTTGCAGGTAGAGGGCTGCAATGAGAGTCTTTTAGACTTTATAATTGGCACACAGGACCTTTTAATATTGAGGGATCTTTTTCATGCCAGTACTTACTACATCAGGACCTCAGTTTATAACGTCTCATCTGAGAGATAGGTCTCCATGACCTGCACTAGGATTTAAACCTGCAATGTGAAGGATCAACTCCTTACTCTGCAACTCCAGAGCAAATGTGTCACAAGATGATCTGGTCATTCTGTGTTATACAGTGTAAATGACATTGTGGCCAGGAAAACATGAAAAGGATAAATAAGCTCAGTTTGGTCACTTGTTGACCATAAGCATGAAGTGACATTTAATAACAGTGCATGGTCACTATAGATTTTATTAAGGACTCCGTATTTAATTTTCCCAGTGGATCAAATGGAATCGGTGACAATAAGTTTTGATTTTATACTTGTTTGGAATGCTTATAACACAACACGGTTCCATATACATGTATATCTGTAATTGAGCAAGCTTTTCTCATAGATAGAGGGCTACGACCAATAATAAAAGGCCGTTGACAATGTCGCGCAGTCTCGAATTAAGAGAAATAGCAGGCGGGGAAGGGATTTACATGAAGACAGAGAAGAGATTGTCCGTTCACAATGCATTTACTGATAAATTATTGAATGTTTTCCATTACAGTGTTGGAGTGTCGTTCTCCGATGGACATTTTATGCTGCTGATCTAGAGCTTTCATTATAAACGCTAAACTGATGCAGATTCGTGGAAGAGATTTTTGATGCAGAAATTATGTTCTGGAAATCTGCCTGTTTGGAATATGTACTAGAGGTAACTTTAGTATATTTTTTAAGGGATGGAAGAGAGATAGAAAAAAGAATTAATTCTGTAAAATGTTCCTGAAAAATAAATGTTTATAAATAATATACATGTCTAAATCTTTTACCAGTATGTCCTTTGTGGATTAAAAAAAAATTAAAATGTTCATATACAAAATATATTTCACATTTAAATACTGAATATATAAGTATGAATTTAGTAAAATTAAGTAGAATTTTTAGTGAGAATTAAATTTTGGCATTATTAATGTGGATTCAGAGATCGCTAAAATTGAATATGGCTAACAAATTATTCAATATTGGTTGTAATTGCCATCTAACTTGGCATTATAAAATAGCAAATTACTTACTGCTAAAAATATATCCCTATTTTGAGGGTAATAAATTGCTTAATTTGTGTTTTGCAATTTTTTACTTATATTACTATATTTTGTTACCAACTCAATATGATTAATAAATATAATTATTGCAGTATCAGTGTGTAATCAACATCTCCTACTGTATAGCCTTTTTATCATTTTTCCTATCTATGCTACAATGTACATTGACCCTGAACAAACATTGTCTCTATTTGTATGGACAAGACAGATCTTGATTAATTAAATTCTTTTTTTTTTTATCTTTTTGTATTCCTATATGTAGTAGTTTTAATATGTATATAAAATCACATCCTGAGATGAAAATGACCTTGAATATATTCAACATTAATTTTTTCTTGAATATATTCAACAGTAATTTTTCCTATATTTTCAAATTAATTTTAATTTATATATGAGAATTTTAAAAACATAAAGTTAGAAACACTTATCAATTATTCAAAAAATTCTCTGAACCCAGTGATAAATGGGACTATTTGATATTTTGGTTGCATGCGTAGAAAAGATTGTCAGGATGGAAACAGATATTAAAATTTATTTTTCTATCATTATTGCATTCTCACTTCCTAAATATGAATGATGAATAATTTTATAATTATGGAAAAGGTTTTGCATTTATCAGGGAAAATCAAGAATTGTTTCAGTCCCAACAGCAAATATTCATTCATATTCTGTCAATATTTGCAGTCTTTGCAATATTTGCTAGGATTTCAGAAATTCTCCGTATTACCAAATGTTGTGAATTGGAGGAATTTTTCGGTCTCCATGCTTTTTCTCTGCGGCTTATAATATTTCTAAACCTCAGTTGATTTTCTCTCATTGTATTTTTATTAAAGGTCTGTGATTCTGTATAACTTCAAGAGGGAACTAAATAATATGCCTAAAAAGTTTTTAAAATTACTTTTCTATTAGACAACTTGACATAAGGTCAGATTTTTTTTAATGAAAACATTTACATTGTTAATTATGACTAAGTAAACATAGTTGAGTAATAACTGTTGCTCACACAATTATCCCTTAATTACTTAATTGGCAGTCTATGCCTATAGGCAACAAATCACACCACAATTAAGGTCACATAACTTTGTAACAAATCAATATCCTTTTTTGACCTGTGCATACTTGTGATATTGGCTTGGCTTTGTATACTCTTTGAAATAGTAAGCTTTTATTTCCATTTATTCAATTTATTTATTGCCCTTTTAAATAATCAGATATTTACAAAACTTTGCAGCAAGTGAACTTTTCATTATTATTTTGGATAATTTGATTTATATTGTCATCAGTTTTAAAACGATTGGAAAATGAAATGTTATATTGGGTTGTATAAGTGAAGGATTTTTTATGTGAAAGGTTCTGTGAATTAATTTAATCTATGGATTTATATATTGTAGATGTAAGAGATGCCTACAGACTCGGGAAATATGAGTCGAGCCGCCCTGAGCAAGCACATGAACCTGGAGCATCTCAGTGATGAAGAATGCGAGAAAATTCTGCGCGTTTTACAGAAAGATTTCGAGCTACGTGACAAAGAGAGAGAACGGCTACAGTAAGCATTAACAAATTATAATATTTTTAGCTTACAATGATGACATGATGTTTAACTGTTTTAACTTTGGCACATAAAGAACTGAAAGAAAGCAGTTTATTTGGACTATATAAGTTAAGGAAAAAAGATATTGCACTGTGAAATTGCCCCCCCCCCCACTCCCTGCTGTTATGTATAGTTACCGGTAAAAGTGTTAATTTTTCACAGTTTAGGTATGTCAGTGACAAAAATCGAGGGATAAGACTTAAGTCTGGCATTTTGAATGAAGCATATATATTTTTTTACTCTATGTATATATATTGTTATATACAAATTAAAGCCTCTTTGACCTTGACCTTTTGCAAATGGTCTTGCTTCAAGGTCAAGTTCTCAAAGTACCATCAGACCCAACACAGAGTTCACAAACTGTTTTCCTTAAAAGCTATGAACAAGGTTAAAGTTTTAGACAGATAAAGGAACAGACCCCAGAAATTCTTGGATCCATCAGGCCTAAAATATTTCATTGAATAAAAGTTACTTCTAAATCCTGTAATTTGTCCTTGGCAAAGTTGCAGCAGTTGAGAAATAGATAATTTCAATTTTTGTGGCAATTTCAGTAAAATAGAGGAAAGTTTGAAAGAGGAGGAGGAGAAAACTGAGGTGATAGCGGTCAAGACGAAATTAAATGAGGAAGTCTGTGTACGATGCTGTCAGAAGTTTGGGATCATCTTCAATCGGAAGCAGCTGTGTCTTACCTGTAAACACTACGTCTGCAAACGCTGTGCCGACTATAATGATAATGAAAAGGGCTACACCTGCCATGCCTGCATCAAAGAAAGGTAATTTAAAAAAAAAATAACTACTCTAAATAATTAAATTCAGGTTACATAGAAGAAAAATATAAAAAAAAATCATGAACAAATTTCATACACAGAGTAATTGTATTACATGTAGTGCAAAAGTAAAAAATATCTTTTTTCCCTTTGGTCTTTTTAGAAGCTTTTTCTGTTGCTTTTTTGAGAGATTATTTTTGGAAGCTAATATGCTATAAGTGTAGGCTGATGGTTTTAGTTGAGGTGTAGCTGTTATGAAAGTTATCACTTTAATTTTTTCCCCTGAGAAATTCAATATAAAACAGGTTTATTAAAAAATAATAATCTATTTTTCATACCACAATATCCAGTATCACTCAAAAACTTTCTCTTTAAAAAAAAAAATTATTAATTTGTCAGTCTAACTATGTGTTTTATTTTCAAGCATACTGATCAATTTTATATTTCAGTAATAAAAGGTATTATTTGATAGTATTGTCTACAACATTAATGATTAGAATGTGTGAATGGATCTGTGAAAATTGATACCAATATAGTGAGTGGTATTGGTTGGTATTGATTAAAGATTATAGTCATTAACAGAAATTGAATTTTCAAACATAAAAAGGGTGTATAGTATAGAAATTGTTTTTAGCTCACCTGAGCCGAAGGCTCAAGTGAGCTTTTCTGATCACATTTTGTCCGGCGTCCGTCTGTCTGTCTAGCTGTCCGTCTGTCTGTAAACTTTTCACATTTTCGACTTCTTCTCAAGAACTGCTGGGCCAATTTCAACCAAACTTGCAACAAAGTATACTTGGGTAAAGGGGATTCAAGTTTGTTCAAATGAAGGGCCACGCCCTCATTCAAGGGGAGATAATTGGGAATTAATGAAAATTTGGTGGCATGTTTTAAAAATCTTCTTCTCAAGAACCACTGTGCCAGGAATGATGAAACTTATGGGGAAGCATCCTCAGGTAGTGTAGATTCAAATTTGTTCAAATCATGACCCCTGGGGGTAGGGCGGGGCCAAAATGGCCGACCAAAGATTTACATAGAAATATATAGGAAATTTCTTTAAAAATCTTCTCCTCAAGAACAACAAAGCCATAATTGATCTTATTTATATGGAAGCATCGTCAGGTAGTGTAGATTCAAGTTTGTTCAAATCATGACCCCCCAGGGGTAGGGTGGGGCCAAAATGGCCGATCAAAGTTTTACATAGAAATGTATAGGAAAATTCTTTAACAATCTTCTTCTCAAGAATAGCAAAGCCATAATTGATCATATTAATGTGGAAGCATCCTCAGGTGGTGTAGATTCAAGTTTGTTCAAATCATGACCCCCGGGGGTAGGGCGGGGCCAAAATGGCCGACCAAAGTTTTACATAGAAATATACAGGAAAATTCTTTAAAAATCTTCTTCTCAAGAATAACAAAGCCATAATTGATCATATTTGTATGGAAGCATCCTCAGGTAGTGTAGATTCAAGTTTGTTCAAATCCTGACCCCCAGGGGTAGGGTGGGGCCAATATGGCCGACCAAAGTTTTACATGGAAATGTATAGGAAAATTCTTTAAAAGTCTTCTTCTCAAGAATAGCAAAGCCATAATTGATCATATTTATATGGAGGCATCCTCAGGTAGTTTAGATTCAAGTTTGTTCAAATCATGATCCCCAGGGGTAGGGCGGGGCCAAAATAGCTGATCAAAGTTTTACATAGAAATATATAGGAAAATTCTTTAAAAATCTTCTTCTCAAGAATAGCAAAGCCATAATTGATCATATTTATATGGAGGCATCCTCAGGTAGTGTAGATTCAAGTTTGTTCAAATCCTGACCCCCAGGGGTAGGGTGGGGCCAAAATGGCCGACCAAAGTTTTACATAGAAATGTATAGGAAAATTCTCTAAAAACTTCTTCTCAAGAATAGCAAAGCCATAATTGATCATATTTATATGGAGGCATCCCCAGGAAGTTTAGATTCAAGTTTGTTCAAATCATGACCCCCAGGGGTAGGGCAGGGCCAAAATGGCCGACCAAAGTTTTACATAGAAATATACAGGAAAATTCTTTAAAAATCTTCTTCTCAAGAATAGCAAAGCCATAATTGATCATATTTATATGGAAGCATCCTCAGGTAGTGTAGATTCAATTTTTTTCAGGGGTAGGGCGGGGCCAAAATGGCCGACCAAAGTTTTACATAGAAATGTATAGGAAAATTCTTTAAAAATCTTCTTCTCAAGAATAGCAAAGCCATGATTGGTCTTGGGACTAGTTTTGGATTTAATAGCTTTTCAAGTATAAATCAATTCTGCTTTTTCCTAGCCACAGTGCTCAGGTGAGCGATGTGGCCCATGGGCCTCTTGTTTAATTTAATTCTTAAAAAAAAAAAAAAATGAATGATTAATGTAAGCAATTGACCCTATAAAAAGTAGGGAGGTCCAGGGGATTTTATGATTGCAATATTAGTAGATGTCTAGATGAACTGCAAAATTTGTATGGAATTTTAAAATTCTGTATAATAGGAAGCAACAGAAAGAATTTTTTTTTTTAAAAAAAGGAAAATTACATTTAATGCAAATTATTTGTATATAAAAAATATTCAAAGATATAACAATATCAATTTTGAGCAGCAAGTCAAGAGAAGCATATTTCAACACAAATCTCATTGAGTTTTTTTTTAAATTAAAATTTGAAGACAGTAAAAGGGATAATAAAGGGGGGGGAGAAGCCAACTCCCAATCATGTCAATATTTCTTCAAAGAAAACTTCCCCACAAACATAATTATATTGTAAATCATTTGTATACGTCTAGAGCCACGTTAGAGGAACACGAGAGGTTTGATATATATTTCCCTGGCTTAATATGATTAACTTCTTTTCTCTGTGCAGAAAATTACTGGGGGCTGTTTTTGCTCATGCATGGGGAAAGATTGGAGACTGGATCCTTTTAAAATCAAATTCTCTCTTGCCGTAATCAATCGCTTGTTCACTTACGGCAGTCAGCTTCTATTGCTTCATTTACACATTTCATGGAAGCTGCTATTGGTTGATTGGTATGCGCTGTCTCATCTCCTAAGGTGCTTTGTTATTCTGTGAAGTTGTCCTAGACATATTACGTCCTTTCTTTTGGGATATGTGGGGGATAAGTAGGAGTTAATTGGGAGGTAGGTCTTTTGGGGTCATTTGGTTAATGGTCAGGGACAAAATATTAAATTTTTCTTTTATGTGATTAAAATCCCTTGTGGATTTAGGATGTTTATTAGAGGAAGACATTTGTAATTTTGAGGTCACTTGGTCAAAGGTCAAGGTCAATGTTGAGACTTAATTATCATTACTCATTTGACCATTGTTGTGTTTAGACATTCTGTAATGTTTATTTTTAAAAGGATTCAACACAATTTTTATGTTACCAACAATTTTATATCATCATACAAAACTTCTATGGACTGATGGGACTGAGTAAAAACTTCAGAATATCCCCTATTATTTTTAGATATCCAAGGTAAAATAATTCAAGAATATGTGGTTGGGACTTCCAAATCACTACAACTTATCCATGGTATTTGAGATATCAGAGTTCGAGATACCGAAAGTTGACCGAGTATGTATAGATTCTGCTACATTGCAAATGATGAAGCCATCATAAAATTCAGAAAATCTAGATTACAGCAGAACCTGTTTGACTGTTAAATTTCTGGTTTCTTGGCTTTTTGTTTTGGAATGAAAGATGCTATAATTCTTATAAAAGAGTGGTAAATTTTATTGAAAAATTTACTGTATCTATTAACAAAGTAGGAATATATGGTTCTTTACAGTTACTGGGTATGGGTTTATGTAAATTTGGTCATTATGGGAAAAAATTGCAGAAATTTGAATATATAAATGTATGTATTCTATTCTCTTGATTAGACAGTTGAAAAAAGATTGATGTATTTTAATTTTAATTTAATTAACTCACAATTATATAGTCATCCCAAATGATGCTACTCATCATTCTCAGATAGAAAATAATTTACTTCTTGCAGGGAATTGAAGCTGAAGTCTTTTGAATGGTTTTACAACAATGTCAGCAGCAAATTCAAAAGATTTGGGAGTGCCAAGGTGGTGCGGTCTTTATACAAGCAGAGAGGGGCAAGGGGACGAGCTT